CAGCCACCAGTCCCGCAACCACTAAAATATTTCCCAAAATTCTATGGAGCCCAAAACTTTATTACCGTATTCACCAGATCCCTCCATGAGTCCCTAACCTCAGCCAAAGTAATACAGTCCATACCATCCCATCCTATTTGCCTAAGATTCATTTTAATAGTGTTTTGTGCCAGAAAGCCGGAAATGGTTGAGGAGATCAGAGTTGATGTCCTAGACAACGACCAACGTTCCCTCTAAAGCGTTACAATCGGAATTCTAACAGTGAGTTTCCACGGTTACAACGAATTTTTCGAAGCGTATGACAACGGGAAAACCAAACTGTTGAGAAAGGTGTTCCATAAACGGTTCTCTAAAAGCATTTAAGGGGATTGAATGTACCAGACAGACATGTGACATGTACCAAGGGACTCGGACCCGAGAAAGTCTGCACTGGAAAGAGCCAGCAGCATATACAAAAGACAGACCCGTCCTCTCGTCAGAGAGGGTGTCCCACAGAAACAAGACCGTAACTGTCAAAAGGTAATAATTAATACCTAGTCATGAGCTCCAAATGGGGCTCGACACCAAGACTTACTGACCGACAGACCGTCAGTCGTAATGTGTCATTAACTTTGCCTTTGACAGACAGATATGGCAACACGCGACAATATTAACTTCCCACCTACATTTAGGTTTTTCTAGTGGTCTTTTTCCTTCTGATTTTCCAACTAATTATCCCCCAAGCGTGCTACATACTCTGCCCGTCTCGTCCTCTTTCACTTCATAATTCCTACTTCTGCTTATTTAAAACCCACTTTAAAGTTGTAATCCCTTCTACATCCAGGTTTCCAAAGTTGTTTCCTTAAATATTTTGCGACGAAAATTAAGTAGACTCTGAATTTCTGGCTCTAGCCCCATATCCTATTGCATTCGGATTGTTATAAGTGCGTTGTTGTCTAGGCTCACTGTTTGTAGTAATTATTTTTCATTATATTCGCTGAGGAATCAATTTGTTACATTTGGCAATAAATGTACGCCTTCAAATGCCCCCAAATTCTGATTTCTGTCCCCTGGCATTATTTCTCCAGCGGCCCTGTCATTCGACCCCCTCGAACAAGCGGTCCAGCTCGCACCCTGCAACCTAACAACGCCGCTACTCTGAAACAAATGAAGAAGGTAAATGGAAAGAGCAGGTAATAGTTTCCGTATGAGTAAGGGCCCACTGATGGGCAAACACAAAACCACATGCAAATTCGGTTCGATTCGGTACAAATTACAACAGGCTGTGAGGCACTCGAACTGATGGTGACTTGTTCACTTCTCTTTATTCAATTGTCAAATATTTGAACCATGGGTTGAACCTTGCTTGATTCCTCCCCCAGTATGTCTCCTCTCAAAAAACATCATTTTTTGATTAGGGCACATCGACCATGTATTGTTCCCTCCGTATTTCAAACAATGACCGAACACTTCAACTGTGTGGTTGAAACGAAAAATAAAAATGCTGGGGGTTTTGATGAAACCCCCTGCCCTGTCTACAATACGCACCTCGCGGTGTATTACCTTGTGAGTTGGCAACCTGTGAATAAGAGCCGCCGAAGAGTCGGTGTTGATTTGTTGACACTAGGACGCTACAACGCAGAATTCAGTGTTACTACACAGACAGTAGATATAAAGTGTGCGCCTAACGCACGGGCTGCCCTTGGGCGAAATAGAGACCACATCATATTCTGCAGTTTCCGTCACGTATTGCGATACGTTACCAACCAGCAGCCTCAGTGTGTGGGGGGGTCGTGGAGGGAAATTAGGAAGACGAGTAATAATAAGTACTTACTTATGGAGCTGAGCCCTTCTTGAGGAGAAGCCAAATCAGCAGCTACTCAAGAATTTCCCAGCATTTTATGGAACCCGAAGGTTCATTACCGTGTTCACAAGAGTCCTCCACTGGTCCCTATCCTGAGCCAGATCAATCCAATCCATCCCATTCTATCTCTCTAAGATCCATTTTAACATTGTCCACCCACCTACTTCTTGGTCCTTCCAGTGGTCTCCTTCCTTCTGGTATTCCAACCAATATTCGAATACATTCCTCTTTTCCCCCATTCCTGCTACATGTGATAATAAGTACATTTTTTCTATAATGGAAGACAATCAGGTTGTGCCTACTAGAATCAGATAGCCTGCATACGTAGTGTATGTGTATTTCACAGACTTTTAGTTGTAAAGTTTTTCTGTTACTATCGTAGCTTTGTTTTGTTTTTGTTTATAACTACTTACTTACTTATACAGACTCATTTTACGCTAAATTTGTCGGATATGGCTTAAATTGAAATAAATTGAAATGTTCGCACCATCTCCATGTTTGAAATCGTTGACTTGAAAACAACAGTCCCTATTGCACACAGAACTGATAAAAGTCATTGTCATATATCCCCTTGCCTAGCTCCAACGACCCGTTAGTTAACGAATTTAAACAGAATGTCAACGAAAACTTTTTCCACGGCAGCCATATTCTTATTGTACATTCTTCACACACATAAAAAGCTTGCCAGAAGGTGAACGTTTTTGCATACGTCATATGGAAGTACCGCCAGTAGCTCCCACGTCATAAGTTGGCGCGTCCACCATGTTATTGTTATTATTGTTATTATTGATCGTAGGAAATTGAACTAGACCGCTTCTGTGGTCTAGTGGTCAGAGTTCCTGGTTAGAGATCCAGAGGTCCCCGATTCGATTCCCGGCACTACCAGATTTTCTGAGAAATAGTGAGTCTGGAACGGGGTCCACTCAGCCTCTTGAGGATAATTGAGCAGCTAGTTGAATGGAAAAGTAGAGGCTCCGGCCTAGAAAACCGAGATTAACGGCCGTGGGAATCCGTTGAGCTGACCACGCTGCAACTTCGCCCACAAGCGGCGGTCGCTCGGTCGGTGTAGTTCGCTTGCGGACTGAAGCCACGGAATTTGTTTTTTGAGGAAATGAAACCCCGATCACAGTGGCCACTCGGTGTACGGATGGTATTATATTCCACCTCCCGAAATGGATTCCTGTTTTAGAATAATCTCACTTCGGAGCATATTTTTCCCCCCTTGTACTGTGGAGAGTCCTTGGGACGGGTGGATCCCCCGAACAAAATGTCCTGTCAAATATCTGTGAGATTTCTAATTTCAGAAGTTAATTCTTGAATCATAATCTGGAGGTGCTTCTTTCGATTCTCGGCTGGGACGTCTGATATTGTGACTGCGGTTTTCCGTGGGTTTCCTCATTCTCTACAGCCGAACTCCAGAACAGTACCTCGATGAGGCCACAGCTGTCTCCCCAAATGCTCTCCAGTTCATTAGTCACGTATCACTCTACTCTCTGAGGCTTTGTGCCTACCCACTGCATTCATTCTGAATTGGAGCAAGCCAGGCGGCTTAATGCATGAAGCCAAAGGGTGCTGAAAGATACGGCTTTGGAGCAGATTCTAATGGCATAATGTTTATACCAAGCCCTGAGAAAATCAGTCACCTGTTCAAAAGTTGGTAGAGGGAAGTGTAGACACTGAATACAAGCATACCCTATTGCGAAAGGAAAGTTAAACACAAAGTTGTCCATTTAATTAATTAAGCACAATACCATGAAGACATATGGTGGAGTGTAGGTATAAATCCACGTATTCTTTACCTCGGCAGGACTGGATGTACTCAGCCTCGTCCATTTTTACCCCAGGAAAATATCTCCCTGTCCCCCTGTTCTACAGCGGGAACGGACGTTATGGAGGACAGAAAATATTTTGCTTCTGCCAGTAATCGAACCCCGATTCTTTTCGCCCCATCCGTAGCCCGTTGCTGTACCAGGCGAACTGTCTCGCCCACCAAAACCAGGGAGAAATGTAAGAAGTAATGTTCTTAACCGTTCAGCGTGGTTTGACGTGTATGTTTCTTCAGGTATCTAATAATGTGATGGTTTGTGTCACAGATGTTCCAGCTAAACGCGCTCCAGTCATCTGTCCTCTCTCAAAATCAGTCAAATCTCTAATTTAGCGTTTCTTTTATATGGACTGTCACTCAACACAATCACTAAAGCACTTACACGAACTCTACGGAGTGTAAACAAAGGGAAGAACATTCAGTGTTGCCAACTGAAGTTCGTTCAATGTAGCCAACACAAGTTCTATTCCTCAGGTGTTTACGTTGTCTTGTCCACCCCTATATATTTTTTTTCCTTGCTAGACGCCCAGAACAAGAGGCAGGAAACTGCTAAATTGTAACAAAGCAAATCAATTTTCTGTACTCCGGGCTTCACGGGTTTTGACTAAAAATTAGATGATAATACTGATTGCACCGTCTCTTCCTCGCTGGGAAACCGGGATCGTGGGTTAGAATCCCACTCAGGGCATGGATGTTTAGTTTGTATGTGTTGTGTGCGATTTTCTGTGTTTGTGTACAGGTAGAGGCCTTGCGACGAGCTGCTCACCCGCCCGAGGGGTCCTACCGAATGTGTAAGATCTAGAAAAACCGAAGTGAACGGAGAAGTTCATGGAGGTAGGCCTAGGCCCACTGGGGCTGTAGTGCCAAGAAAAGGGGGGGGGAAAGCAACCTGCATAAGCATGTTTTGTGAATGCCAATTTTATAAGGACTTCTAATTATTCAGTAATGTTTTAAAAACAAGGGAACCCATAAAGTTTACTTTCCTACTGCATGGATTTCTTGCCTTAGACCTTTTATATTATTGTCATTGTTACCTTATTTTAGTTTGTAAATATTTTATTATTTTAACTTTGTACGTTAATTTTTCCGATCTGAACTACACGTCTGACCTCAAACTTTGCATCGTCGCCATACTCGAAATTATTAACTTAGAAGCAACATTTCACACATAATATACAGGTATAATTTCAAACCAACTACAAGTATCAAATTTCACAACCCTACCTCTTATGATTTATTAATTTCCACCATTAGACTGAAAGCTAAAGAGAATTTTGTTATTTTACAGTGTAAAAATACTTAAATAAAAGCGGCATATTTCTCGACGACCTGCTATGCCTCTACCATTTCAGGATAAAACATTGCCATCACGGCGCTCCCACCCAGTGACGAAGCGTTCATGTGAACCGTGTTTGTTCGGCCAGCACTGTGAAAAATAAAATAAAATAAAATGTATTGCTTTCATGGTTCAGTGGTAGTCTATATACTAGCAAGAGAAGCGATCAGAGCGCAGGCGCAATTAGACGGACACGATAAAATTAGGAGGGATCCATGACATTCCAAGCTACCACATTAGGTAAAGCAGAATTTCGCTGAGCACGCACACACCTACAGCAAGTAACAGTGGGACAGCGAAACGGGTATTTCTGCTTGAGGACATCATGATATGATATTCTTCAAAATTTTAGCCTTGATTTTCATTTGGAAGAGTTCTCACGACTATAGTGCCGGGGGGCAATGAATGTTTACAAATTATGCAATCCAGACGAAAGGACATGAATTTCTCACCCAAAGAAGTGCAACAGTTTTGGAAAGACTTGGCCAGAATTGTGAGCTACTCAGGAGACAAGGAGCGGTACGAATTTTCGGCTAAGAGACAATGAGTTGCAATGATTGATAATGCTAAAATACCTTCTGGGATAACGAATTATTAAAACCGCCCAGTGTGATTGATAAATGACTTTTTTATCTCTCATCCTTTACATGTTTCGGTTGGAGAGACCATCTTCAGAAAGACATTATCAGTACATACGAAAACTACTATTACAATGTCATTGGTCATTATCTATACATAAACACACTATTATTACAATATTACCGAAACGTATAAATGATGAAAGAATAAACAAAGAAAAGAAATTATCGCTCACACTGGACGGCGTTAGTAATCTTTGTATTACTAGTGTTACGGACCAGGTTGAACCAAGTCAAATTTGTCTTATGGAAGGCTGTACTTTGGAATAATCGACACTACAAAAGGACATTTGACTAATAACACTCGTGGTCTGAAATTCTGGAACTGAAGTTCATGTCAATTCTAGAGTTTGGAAATTGTAACCACTATTCTAAAAAGTTGTTACTGAATTCATCCACACGGTATTATTGTTGTCTCCTTCTGATAATAAACTTTCCTTCACTTGTTCGTAGAAATACATTTTACAAATATGTTATTGTTTCGGATCTGAGCACTTGACTCGTCATTAACCACTCCAGCAATCACTGCCTCTCGCGAGCAGGCTTCCTCTACTTGGAAGGGGACCATATTTATCTACACAGCATGCAAACACGCACTAAGCTCTCATTATTAACAATTAAGGAGACATTCTTCAAAACATAGGAAACATATCCTTTCACATCCTGTGCTGTGCAACATATATTTTCACTCAAATAATGGTCTTCGCACAAAACTGAAATACACCGTGAAATAAGAAAAGTAAATGCAGTCTGTGGTCTAGTGCTCAGAGTTTCTGGCTATAGATCCAGAGGTCCAAGGTTCGATTCCCGGCACTACCAGATTTTCTGAGAAGTAGTGGGTCTGGAACGGGGTCCACTCAGCCTCGTGAGGATAACTGAGGAGCTACCTGAATGGAAAAGTAGCGGCTCTGGTCTAGAAAACCGAGCTTAACGGCCGTGAGGATCCGTTGCGCTGACCACGTGACACCCTCTATCCGCAAATGTTGGCATTAACATCGCCGACAAGCGGCGGCACCTCGGTCGGTAAAGTTCCCTTGCGGACTATAGGACACGGAGTTTCTTTTTAAGTGCACTAGTTGCTAACCACTTCTGTTGCTTACATTTTCTTCTTCTCTCATTCTAGGCATCAGTTTCTAGTTGAGATGTGCATAGATTCCTTACACATTGCAGTCCCATATACTCAAGTGTCAACGTTTGCACGACTTCCTTCTACCTCGGGCTTTGGATAACCCTGCTCCCGCCCAGTAAGTTAGCGTATCTAGCATGTTGCTGTTACTGATCACATAAAGCTATAAAGTACGACTTTGAGGGCCCCTTACAATTACGCAGCTTTGACACTACGCAACATGAAAACTGATCAACTGGTTGAGTAGGTGAAAAGGGTAACAGAAACAAAGAAGACACACCCAGGAAGTAAGGTGAAATCATAGTCCTACTTTAGGAAATTAACCGGGTAAAAATCCTTGACCATTAAGCACCGTTTAATTCTGTAGAGGCTGCAGATCTATATGATTATTGAAATATATCTTCAACTTTGTCACAGCATTCCAGAATACTTCACTTTTAAACTGCCACATATATTCTTACCCCCTCGTTGGTGTTTCCACCTTATCGTGGTGAGGGGGTTGGAGTATGCCAAGGACCCTGAGAGCTATACCAGCGGTAGCGTAGCTACTGGCAGGGCCTCCCTTGCTGGACAGGTCAAAGGGTAGGCATCAGACGAAGAGAGACACGAAAAACCAAAAACTGATGCCGGAAGCAGCGTCATCAGCAGCGACTTGAAGCACAGAGCAAATGACGCTCGAGATGGTTCAAGTTCGTATAGCAACAGGCGTGACCAGAGTGGTTTGAACGGCTGTTGTACTGCGATGTGGAAAGCAAATGGAAAAACTACCACATTATCACTTTACCTGGATAGCCTCTTTCAAAAAACAGAAGATCGCATTATGTGGAGGAACTGTTTTGGAAGAGACTGTGGACCTGTCGTCTGACAGATTACTGATGAATGAATGAATGAATATATTGTCACGTGTTGAGCGTATAACGCGACAAATAAATTCACGCCGTATCAAATTCTGTAGAACCTTTATTGTTCGTTCTTCACGCTTACACAATCACGAGTACCGTAACTATTCACTGTGACACCTCAACTGTCTTCTGCGACGGATGTTCCTAAACTGAAGACTTCTCGTCGAAGCTGGGCTTTTATAACCTTGGCAGCTGCTAGGTAACGAACCTTCTGTTATAACCATGGAGACGTTGCTTTGTTTGTTCAGCGTTTCCTACGCAATGACCCATTGTTATTGCGTTATCTCTGTGGGAACGCTACGCGTATTCTCGTAACCGTGGAGATTCGATATTCTCGGTACAATGGCTCACTGTTGGGGTTACAGTGCCGCTATTGTTACTTCCTATGTAACGGTCCATTCTAGCGTTTCCCTAGAAGTTATTCCTCTGGTTTGCCGACACGTTACAATATTCTTAATTTACCTTTTCAGTGACATATTCACACAACTACTACTACTGCTACTGCTATCACCACTACTGCCACTACTACTGCTATTACTGCTACTGCTACTACTACTGATACGGCTACTGCCTCTACTACTGACACTACCGCTACTGATGATACTACTACTGCCACTACTACTACTGATGCTACTACTACTGCCACTACTACTAGGGGTGCTGCTACTGCCACTACTAGGGGTACTGCCACTACTACTGCCACTACTACTGCTGCTACTGCCACTGCTATTGCTGCTACTGCCACTACTACTGCCACTGACACTAGGGGTACTGCCACTACTACTGCCACTACTGCTGCTACTACTGGCACTACTACTATGTATGCACAATTATATCCAAATCAGTCATTAGGTGTATCGAGAATGAAAGTTTCTAAGGTTATGTCGGCATGTAGGAATCATGGGAAGCCAACATCAGCGAAGAGGAAACGTGCACGAAAATCGACAGTGACAGACGGAGATCGTCGTTCATTGAGCAAAGGATTGTTTAGAAAGTTATAGAACTACTGCAGTACAGGGGAGAGGGAAGCAGAAATAAATATTCATCTCGAAAGCCCTGTTTCTACAAAAACTGTCTGACGTGACCTTCACAAACCCAAACGGTAGGGCTGCAATTGCTAAACTTCAGATTACTGAAAGTAATGCTCAGATATGTAAATGGTGGTGTCAAGACCAAAAAAACAGAACATCGGACAACCGGAAATGCTCGCAAGGTATGGTCAGATGAGTTGTCCTTCACCTCGTTCCCTACATCAGGAACATTTACGAATGAAGAACACCCAAGGGAGCCTGCAATCCGGAAGGCCTAGTACCAACAGTGAAACACGAGGGAGGTTCTGTGGTGGTTTGGGCAGCAATATCGTGATACAGTATTCTGTTGGTCCCATTATGATCCTTCATGGCCAAATTGCTGCAAGGGAGTACTTGGACAGGTTGGGTAATCAGGTGCATCCTATGATCCAGACCTCATTTCCGCAGAAAGATGCAGTTTCCCAAGACGACAATGTACCAATTCACACAGCTGGAACTGTTCAGTTATGGTTTGAAGAGCATGAAGGTGAACTTCAGCATCTTCCTTGGTCAGCACAACCACAAGATCTGAACATCACTGAACCACTCTGGTCAGTTTTGGAGACTAAATTGAGGAACAGATTCCTACCTCCAACACCTCTGAAACACCTTGAAGATGTTCTTCAGGAAGAATGGTATAGAATTCTGCTAGAAACTGTTAAAAACTTGTATGAGTCCATTCCAAGAAGGATTTCTCCTCTACTAAGGCAAAAAGTGGTCCAGCACCATATTGATAAGGAAATGTGCACAATATCAGTAGTACCTCCATTATTTTGTCCAACCTCTGTATATTCCCTTACAGCTCAAGTAATTCTGTATATCGCAGCTTTTAAGTAAATATTCAAATAGGATCAGCTGGACAGCAAATTCTTTTGGATACCTAACTCGAGAGGGCTAGGTTTATATTTCTCTTATGTTGGATAATATGACACAAGTCAGTTGTGAGGTAACCATCTACTAGAATAAAGGTACGTATTTTAAATGTTGGTTGCACAGGTAATAATAAAACAAATTCTTGTGTATTGATATTTATTGAATAAATTGTTTGACATAATTATGAGGTGTTACTAATTGTAATATCATAGATGACTTGCATATAACATGATACCGCAAAGTGGTTCAATGTTGTACTCTGACCGATCATAACCATGGCTAACCACAGCAGTAACCAATGCTGCCCACTAAATGTAGTGAATTTGGCAAGATAAATTCCTGCACTCTGGGGTTTGTTGCACATTCATTTTCATGGATTGTAGGACAGCCCACCACGCCCTTAACTCCTCAACGCGATGGAGATGAACCCTTCTTGTGATGCCGCCAGTCCCTCAGCCACTCCAGAATTTCACAATTTATGAAACCCGAAGTTTCGTTACCGTGTCAACAAGAGCCCTCCACTGCTTCCAATCATGAGCCAGAGCAATCCAGTCCATACCACACTATCCTATCTCTCGAAGATCCATTTTAATATCACTCTCCCACCTACTTTTATATCTTGAAAATGGTCTCTTTCCTTTTGACGTTCACTCAAAACCCTGCATTTATTCTTCTGCTCCCCATGCGTACATCATGTCCTGCCCATCTCAGTCTTCTTGACTTGGCCGTTCTAGTTATACTTGGAGAAGAGTACAAGTTATGAAACTCATTATGCAGTTTTCTCCAAGCTGCTCTCACGTCGCTCCTCCACTGTCCAAATGTTCCTCTCAACACCCTGTTCTCAAACACCCTCAGTCTGTGTTCCTCGCTCAATGTCAGAGATTAAGTTTCACACCCATTGACAACCACAGGCAAAATTACAGTTTTGTATGTTCTAATTTTAACGTTATTAAACAGCAGACGAAAAGACAAACGGTTCTGGGCTGAATGCTAGCAAGTATTACACGAATTCAGTTCCCTCTAAATTACCAACTAAATCAAATTTTTGATTCCGTACTGTCGTTCCCAAATATTTGAAATGTGCCACATATTCAAAGGGTCCGTTATACATATATCTTTATAAAATTACCTTGTTTCTGAACATTATCCATCGTCCTGTTTTTTTTTTTTAGATACGTCGTTTCGGAGACTGGATTCTATCTCCGTCTTCAGGCGGAACCTACACAGTTGGGCCCAATCGATGTAGACATTCCCCAACTTAATGTCATTAACTTGCCCTGCATTCTGGTGACGCAGCAGCAACATATACCTAGTTTTCTCTATTTTTACTTCTAGACCAGTATTTCTAGATCAGTGGCCGCCGTGCCGAGTGGACCCAGTTGGACTTCACCCAATACTAAGCGAATTAAAAAAGCGAACCATCTGAGGTGTAGCAAGGTCATGATACTTGCTAAGTGGAAGAAAAGGCTTAGAACTGTTTAATTTATATTTCTCCAGTTTTAACGCGAGCCGGGATAGCACAGTCGGAATAGCGACGGGAAACGGGCTGAATGGCCGAGAGATCGGAGTTCGAGTCCCAGTAGGATTAGAATTTTCTCTTCTACATATCGTTCAGACCTGGTCTGGAGCCCATTCAGCCTCCTATCTAGTGGGTACCGGGGGTAAAACGGCGGGGGCGTGAAGTTAACCACTCACTTCTGACTAGTGCCGAGGTCAAGAAAATGTGGGTCTATACATCCACTCCCCCATACGCCTTCATGACGTAGCGCTTAATTAGTTACCCACAGGGACAACTTTACCTTTCTACTCCAGTTGTAGTATTACAAGTCTAGCAGCTGTTTCACAACTTGGCCGGCTCTGTCGCGGCTCCAGGGACTACAGATTCCAGCACGATGAAGCGCATGTCGGAACGTTTTGTTCGTCTCCTTCTCAGTCATCATCATCATCATCATCATCATCGTCGTCGTCATAGTCGTCACCGCGCAAGTTCGCTCAGGCGGTAATGCTTCTGACTTTTATTCGGGTTGTGCCTGGTTCGAATCTAGGCTGGGACACCGACCGCCCTGACGTGGATTTCGCAATTGTTCTCGGTTCCTGCAGATGAACTACTGATTTGTAATCGCCCTCAAAGTAGGCCACGTCCACTTCCATCCAAATCCTTCCCATCTCCTCCTTTATTAATCAACATATAATTCGACACTGTGTAATGTGAGCTACTTAAACACAACAAAATAAATAAATAAAGCCGTCGTCTTCAAAATCAACTCTAATCATCTCTGTTCGAGCTGTTGGCGTGTCCCACCGTTGCCTCCTGCAGGCTACTACACTTCATAGTCGCCGCTGTGAGAAAATCAAATAAAAGAAATAAAAAAAGGACTTATTCGTCATCGTCTTATTTTAGACGTGCCGCTTCCAGCTCAATCTTACGTTGGGGGGGGGGAGGTATACTTATGGTGTAATTTTCCCATATCCTCTGTCCAGTTAATATTATATTCCATTTAATGAAGGAAATTTGAATTGTTTTTTCTGTTTATCTCCAGTTCAGTTCCTTTTTTAGCTGCTTATAATGTCTGAGGAAGCCCATTTCACATACTTAAAACGTAGGCAACTGGATCCAATCATCGTGAGATATATATTTACAGATGCTTAAACCACTATGCTACAAGCCGGAAGTTCACGGGTTCGAGTCCCAATGGAGTGGATTTTATTGCTGGGCAACGACCGCGAAGAAAGCAAAGAGACACCAGCCATTGTTAAGCAATAGCTTTGTAAATACACAACAGTACTGGAGACGTTGCTAGGCAGATGCCCACGCGCAGCAATGGAAGTATTGTTGGAAGCGGCGTTTCTATGTGATCTGCTCCAAGGTTGTGTCACTCGACCGACCGAGTCAGTGCAGTGGAGCAGAGCAAGTTTTTGGTGAGTGAGTTAGTTAGAGAACCGATGCGTTTCAGTCCTTGGATCTGCTGCTAGAAGCTCGTAGCTAAGGCACAGGAATAGTTTGGGAACCCAGAGTAAGGGGAACGTCCGCCGTTAGAAGCCGCTACCAGGCAACGACTGGTGAAGAAACAGCTGTAAGGAAATGTACAATGTGTGAATTAGCGATAGCGTTACAGTTCTAGTAGTTACGATCTGTTGGTGTTCAATAAATGCAATTACGTATCCAAACTCCCTATATAGTGACAATATATTCAAACTGCTGTTTTGTTACCTCCGACATAGGGAAGCAAACACATCTCTGTAGAACCCCTGAAAGAAATCATTCCTGTATTACATTTTTGTGGTATGTGACATAGTGTTGTTTGGTAAAGGTAAGGGTAAAGTTATCCCTGTGCTTAACTAATTAAGCACTACACCATGAAGGCGTATGGGGGAGCGGACGTATAAGTTCACTTTTTATTGACTTCGACACTAGTTGAAGGTGAGTGGCCAGCTTCAGGCCCCGGCCGCTTTACCCCCGGCGAGAAAGTTCCCGGTATCCATTGGATAGGAGGTTGGGTGGACCCGGGAGCCAGTCTGAAGTACGTGGAGAAGAGAAAATTCTTGACCCTACCGGAATTCGAAGTCCGACCCCTCCGTCGCCCAGCCCGTAGCTCCTTGTGTTGTTTGATAAACTGGTTAAATGTTCTACTAGAGACGCCTGCTTCATGTTCGGTGCGTAGGGTGGAGGCGACGGAATATTTGTACACGGCGTTGCTACGCAGCAGACCGTGAGCCCGATGCTCAGTGCCTCGGAAGCATCAAATCTCACAAAGCACGGCAACTTTTCTTGTCTCACGTGACATGTGGGAGGGGAGGGGACCCAACCCTGAGTTATGACCCGAGAAGCGCCACATTATGCGTAGGACTCACTGTTCTGAGTCACCGTGACTTCCTATGAGAAGAAAAAGTCGCAGTCTACTTGTGAGGTGCCGCACGGCTGGCTGGAGCCTAGCTACTAATAAGCACCTGCCATAGCAGAGTTATGACATGGCTCATGCGCAGTAGACGGGAGAGCGCAGCATCGTGCACTCCGAGTGCCCAGAGGTCAGTCGCATTAATGACTGCTTGCTGTTTGAAAGTTCATGACTTGTGTGCGCAACTTTTGATTCACCCAGTTAGATAACTAACCCAGCGGCCTCCGTAGTCTAGAGGTAACGTTCCCACCTCATGACTCGTAGTACGCGGGTTCAAATACCCGGCGGAGGTCGTCGAATTTTTAAGGGCGGAAAAATTCAGGGCCAAGTCCTCCGGGAGGGACTTTAAGCCTTGGGTCCCGTGTCGTAGCTTTACGGCATGTAAAAGAACCTCATACCTCCAAAGGAGGTCACTGAGCCAAAATTGCGGACGTTTCCCGCCCAACAGCAGTCACTAATACCTCCGGTAGATGGGGGAAGCATTATAGATACCTCTCAGCTAGTAGAGCCGGTCTCGCTGGCTGGGCGGGACTGATGGTAAGCACCAA